CCATTCAGAAACTCAAATCCCTTCAGAAAAAAGAAAAAGTAATTAAAAGTCAGTCTTTTCTCTCCCTCCTGGCCCATTTTGCTTCTTGCCAACAACTAGTTTCTTTTTGGTTCTTTTGATACTGCACTTAAATTAACCTGTACCTGTTTTCTGCAGCTCTCAGCTGTGGATGTCAGCTATTTCCGGCACTAACCTCAAGACTGTTGCTCACAGCTCCACTGTCAGGTTCTTCAGACTTCCTGTTTTGTTCTCAACGCTTCTATTTCGCCGCTGTACTGCTTCCTGTTCTAAGACTTCTTGTGACTAGAATCCCACAGTTGTCCTCAACAAGATTTGGCTGGTAAAGTCTCTGAATGTTCTTCCTCTTATTAATGTTTTATCTTCCTGTCCATAATCTTTCTAGATGGGTAACCTGGATTTTTGTGGAAATTCCAATGGGGTTTCACTGAGGTTCTTCATTCTTGTGCATTCGCTCTAGAAAACAAGGAATTAAATAGCTCTGGTACAGACAGCTTTTCATTAATGCTCAAGGAAGATATTATTCTTTCTGGAGTAAGTCAGCAGGGAGAGGGTGATCCTTCTATTAGCTTGGTTTTCACTCATTTCCATTTAGCTGTTGCTCAGGTCCTGTTATAAATGTGTTAGTGAGTTCAGAAAGCAAGAGCAGGCGTAGACAGTCTGATCTCAAGGCTGCTATCCTGTGTGCCTTTGTAGGTGAACATCATTACAAGGCCTTAAATGGAGAGATATGAAACACTGTCAGGAATGGAGAAGCAAAGATAACTCAATTGGGACATTGAACTCAAAAAGATGTGGCAGAATCACTTAAAGATCATTCTTTGCCTTGTCCCATCTCCACAAAAAAAAGTTTTGAATAATTGTTGGTGTGATTGCAGTCTAGTTAAGTAAGTGAATGAGCTGGAAGATTAATCACTGTCTAAGAGGGTTTAATGTATATGCATAATTATCATATATATTAAGCAACAGGTACTGTCTTATGAGAAACTTTCTGTATCATACTTTTAAAATCTACTCTACTCTAAATCTCTCTAAAGTATTTTAGTGTTTATATATTTTCTTTCTCATCTTTATTATTAAAAACATTTGCATTAAACATGATCTATTTTATTCTGTGACTCTTACATTCAAATCTTTCTTTCCTGTGTCCCCTGTTGCCCTTTTTCCACCTGAAATATAAGATTTTCTAATATCACAAGTGCTTGTTGATGAAATGATTATAGTTATTAATTAATATACCTTCTTCTTTATGGTTGAAGACAATTTATATTAGACATGCTGAACCATGATCCTGAGGTTAGAGGGTACAGGTGATTTTCCATCAAAATACATTTTTTGAAGGGAGATGCTGTTCCAAGTTGATTTTAGATGATCCAAATTGAAATTTGCTGCAGAAAAATGTCAATGTTGCTGAAAGTTTTAGTTTTCCATTGGAAAAGTCAAAATGAACTGTTTCCTATTGCACTGCATTTACTCAGACCAAAGACTTTCCATTTGTCAAACACCATTAAACTGTTTTGTGTCTGCTCAGTTTGATGTTAATCTGTGTCTACTCAAGTTGCTAGAGTGCTGCCATAGACTCATGTCCCCATTTTCAACAATGGGCTAGACTATCTAGCCAGAATCCGTCTCCTATGATGCACCAGTTTCATGGGACAGAAATTTTGATTTTCCATCAGCTGTTAGAGGGGGAGTCAGTGAGTACATCTACATATGTGTTGTATTGCAGTTGACTAATTAGCTCCACAGTAAAGCATCACCATCTATACATGTGCTGGTATTAGGGCACAGTAAATTCCATTTCTCATGTTTTTTCTTCACATGATGTTTCCTATTCATGGATTGTCAGTCAGTACTTACCATCTTCTATGCTCATGGCGAGTTGGATAACACTCCATCTCCAACAAGGCTGACTATGCAACCCCCCCTCCCCTCTAGCACCCCTACACACACACTTCCTGGTTTTCCTTCTGATATAAAAATATTGGAATTGAGTTGCTGAGTACTAACTGGGCAATAGGTGCACAGAAAAAAAATAATTCTTTTACTTGGTATTTCAAGAAGCTGGGGTCTTGCAAAGTGCAACATATTGGATATCTGGCTGATTTTCCATATCCTAGAGCCTGAAAAGGTAGATGCTGCTTTGTGGCTCAGTATTTTTGGAAGTGTCCAACTTTCATAACCACATGAAAGGGTCAATCATATGCACCAATTCCTAATCTCACCTCTGTAAAGTTAACTTTCTATAGTGCACAAGTCCTTGTTTTCTTAATACTTGCCATGATTCCAGCACTTTGAGTTTTGAATAATAATTTCTGGTTGGAGGAGGTGATTTTCTCGCATGTGGGATTGCTTAAAATAGTCTGCAGGCAGAATTTTCCCTAACAGTTTGGAAACTGCCTGATTAAGGTGTTTATTTGCTGACTGCTCAAAATTACATGTGTGTCAAACTCCCCTCCCTCCCACAGCCATCGCTCAGGATTTTTCAGCCCACGTGCTGTCAGTAGCAACTGGTTGTCACAGTTTCAGTGCTGCATGCAGGGCTGGCTCTTTCCATTCTCGGCACTGGGTGTTTATTGTTGAAGGTTTTTACCCAGGGAAGAACCATTCGGAGCTCTTCATCCAATGCAGGCCATTAGAGAACAGAGATGGAGGTTGGAGAACCCAGTTGCACTACCCTGGGAAGAGGCCTGCTTGCTCTCTGAGACTCAGATCCTCCAGGATCAGATACTGAGTGCGGGACCCAGGAGAGGGGGGAAGGGTGGGGGCAACTGGCGTGCCAGGTGGCTGCTCTCTCCCCCTTCCCCTGCCAGCCCCTCAGTGCGCTCTGACCCTGCCGACCAATGGCAGAGCCTCTCCAGACCTGGGGGTGGAGCCGAGGGACAGCGGGTCAAGGAGCTGACTGGGAAGTGTGGCAGCAGCCCCAGCGGAGGTGGGAGGCCTGCAACTGCTGAGTAAGGTACTCACCCCTGCATGAGGGCCCGAGAAGGGAGACAGAGGTGCCATGAGGAGGAGGAGGACCGGGGTTGTGGGCGGAGTGAGAAACCTGGGGGCAGAGGTGGTTTGGGGCAAGTGAACAGTGCCAGAGTGAAGTAAGGAAAGGTCTGGGGAAGCCACAGGAGTGTGCTGCCCATCTGGGGGCTTTGGAAGTGACACGAGTGTTGCCACGCAGCTCTTTCCCAGACCTTGGCTGAGCCAATGTACATAGTCCTGGCTCAACATGGGCAGTGTCAGCTCCTTTCCCCCTTCCCAGCCTGCGCTAGAGCTCATCCAGGACTGAGAAGCCTCTGAGGCCACTGAGGTAGAGCAACCTGGGGAGGCTTGAAAGGGGCTAAGTGCAGACATTTGCAGGGGGAGGGGGAGGTTAGATCTCATTAAAAATGGCCACCTGATCTAACTTAGTTTGCGCCGATGCAGACCTTACACTAGACCCAGTCTTAGTAATCAGAAACCAACCTATACTTGTACCTGGACAGAAGTTCTGCGCACACAGTCTGGCCTCAGAATGATGGAACCTCGTCTAAGAGACCTGGACTGATGTGCGCTCAGACTCAATCACTGTAAGTTAGACCAGTGAATGGCACTTCTCTACAAAAAGTTGATCTTTTCCTACCTGCCCCCTGGCACTGCACTATTTTTGGCCCCCAGGCCCTCACCCATCCATCCCCTCCCCGCAGTGGACCAGTCACCCCTTCCTCTCCCCACAACCCTCATCTCAAAGCTACTTCCACTGCTGGTTTTATATGCATGTGGATGCTGGGAACCAAGGCAAAAAGTATCAGTGGCGGGAGGGATGGGGGGACAGGCCATGGCAGATATATGAGATGCATCAAAAACTGGAAGATATTTAAAATATATTATCAAAATCTAGGCACAAACCTCTAATTTTTGCACTATGTGGTGTCACAGGGGTTAAAATAAGTGCAAACCCATACCGTCCAAACCAGGATGTTCTTGAAACATGATGGTCCAGCTCAGTGGTCCTCAACCTTTTTTAAATTCAAGGCACCCCTTCTGAAGTGCCAGCTCTTAGCTTTCACTCATTTTTTGACTATGGAAAGATAGTGGAGCAATTTTTCTGTTGAAAAGAGCTTGGAAAGACTACACCATGTAAGAATGCTTTTGACACTATGGATTCCTATTTGAAATCTCTGGGTTTATCTTGTGAATACTGTGTAGGTGCTTATACACTAAACAGTCCTAAGATTGTGCAGCATCCTTAAAAGGATCTCAAGACATCCCAGGGTGCCACAGCACGCTAGCTGAGAATCACTGGTCTAGTTCAACCACGAATTATGGGTTTGAAGCAGGAACTATTAGGGAGCGGAAAAAAACCCAAAAACATTCTGACCTGTTATGCAGGGTTTCAAGCTAGAAGATCAGAATGGTCCCCTTACCCGTGAAATCTGGGAATCTTTGGGTGCGCCATACCAACAATTTATATCTGGGTAAAAGGGAGCATTGAGCTTACTGAGTGTCAGCTGTTTTGCAGTAATTGTGTTTCTATTTCATGTCCTGAGCAGTTGCACATGGGAGTCCGAGGGAAGGAAGCTTATGAGCATGTACTGTGTCATACAACATACACAAAAATGGGATGCTAAGGCTGTCCTTTGGGTGCCCCCTAGCCATGTCTGTGATGCATACCAGATCCAGAGATCATGAGAGCCGTGGTGGCAGGTAGCCCTAGACTGCATTAACTGCCTCATTTCTAATTCTGGGGCTTGAAAGTTGAAGCACCATGCGTGTTCAAGAGCAACGCCCCTTGGAAAGCTAGGGAAGTGATGTAGATGTACCTTAATTGCCCATCTGCATGGTCTCAATGGCAGCTCAATCACAGCTACGTACTCCAATCATAGATGGCTAAACTGCTACACGTTATTTTCCACTTACCCTAAGGTAAGAGCATAAATACAGGTAACTGCCACAGGACAACCAGTGCTCAATTAAGGCACACCCTGTGTACCGCAAAGTAAATTGTTTGTATGGCCATACCGTATAAAAAAACCATTTCTGCCTTCTGTACACAAAGTGCATAGTGATGCAGTCTCAGACCATTGGAATCCAAGTGTCTGTATCACTGTACCACACACACATCTCAGTAATTCCTCTTCCCAAAGGATGGAGACACAAGGGTTCTCATACAGGTTCTGATGACTGATGAGCTTCAGTGTACATAACTGTTGCTTGTTGACTCTTTCACAGTTCACCATGACTTCCCCTTGGATCTTGTTGGAGAAGGATGTATTTGCCCCCCTGAATGAGAGACTCTTGGAAATTGTCCACATCTGGAAAACTGGAAAGAAAAGGAAGGGCTCTGTTCTTTGTGTAGTTGGTGAGCAACTTTCTTCTCTCACTGTGAACTGATGGAGATTATACTGCAGGACCCTAGATTATTATTCTTGTTGTTATTCCCATGACTGTCTTGTTTTATATGTTGTTAAAGATCTGGGACAAACACCGTGTAACATCACATAAGATGCTGTAGAACTCTTAAGTGCTGTTTCTCTATTGTTCTAGGAAAGAATTGCAAAAGTACAAAGGAATTTTTCCTAAAACTTTCTGATTTTCTACTTAAGCACTTTTGAAAATATTATAGCTCATATGATCTATGCATTCCCTAGTGTCCCATCACCTTACCATTTAAGCCACATGTGAAAAGAAGTGTTTGTCCCAGATCTGAAATGTCTGAAAAGCGTTTGTCCCAGATCAGCCATGTCTGAAAAGAGGTGTAGCTCCTTTTGGCTAACTTATTGAGAAGGGTCCCTTTTACAAGATAACTTCTTTTAGTTAATACTGGCCACATCTACATGAGATGCTGACTGCACAGTAGCTCATTACTACTGTGCAGTATCTCGTTACTACTGTAGAGAAGCATCACTTGGCATGGAGTGTGACACAATGTGACTGCACAGTAGCTCATTCTACTACTGCGCAGTCAGTGTCACCAAAAAGCCATTTGGCAATGCTACTGTGCAGTAGCTCCAGTTACTGTGCCATCATTTAGTACTTGCATATGTAGTAACACCTACATAGTCAACATCTCATGCAGATGCGTCCATTCTTGCCTAATGCAAAGAGAATCCAAGTTTGAGGCTTGTCTTGAGGTGGTGCATATGTGAAAATGGGAATAAGAAGGTACAACTCCATCCATTTCTTAATTCTGAATATCCAGATACCAGCTATACAAACTCCTTTAATATGGCATTTACCTATGGTAAATCCCATTGGGTTTAGTCTTACTGTTGCAGTGGCATCTACCTTAGGCAAGAGAACAAGGATCTGTTTGGAAACACAGAGGTCAGTGGGACTCGTTCCAGAGATTGAAAGAGACTTTGGATAAGGCTGCAAGAGACCAGTTCTGTACGTCAGTGCAATGTTTATAACATCTTGTTCCATCACACATCAGTTATATGTAAAGTAAAAGTCTATCTCCCCACACCTGGAATGCATGTATAAGCCAAACAGTAACACTGGTGTTTTGTATCCCTGTCCTTAGTTGCTAATTATAGGCCAATACAGCTGTTCCTTGTGAAGGTGAAGGCAGATCGGGGTGAACAGTACAAGATAACCAACAGGTGGCTCTTAAAGCATCTGAAGCTGGTAGATGGAAAGACAGTCAATCAGGTATTGTTAACTCTTGCTTCTTATTATGGTATAGGGCATGACACAGTGTGTGAGTAAATGGAAAGAGAAATGAATGGGCTGAGTGTGAGGCCAGAGAGATACAGCCCTGGTCTTAGTTTTGAGCAAAATGGAAGCAGTAGGTGAAGGAAGGCAGGACAGGGAATGAATCAACATTTTAAATCCAGGACCGAAAAAGATAGAACAGCTTTTGATTTCAGTATAATCTGGTGAGAGCAGCCATCAAAAGTTTAAAAAAAAAAAAGGCATCTCTACTTTCTGATTTAGTTGGTCAGAGAGATGTGCCCTTTATGCAGGGGTGGGCAAAATATGGCCTGCAGGCCAGATCCCGCCCATGAGGCCATTCTATCCAGCCTGCAGGGCCCCTAAAAATTTTAGAAAATTAATATTGATCTGTCTTAATGGGTCACCAGTTCTACCAGAATGCTTTGGATGACTTATCTCAGACATCTCTTTTGGATGGAGACGGGGTTGTATGTGTGTTATAGGAAGGTTTGGGGGTGGGAATGCACCATCACAAAGAGGAAATGGGGTGTGTGTAGTAATGGCAGGCTTGTTGGATCTCAGAGCAGGCTGAGAAATCAATGAAGGACTGTTCTTTGTCATACAGCTTGTCACAGCAACCCAGTAAATCAAAAAAGAAAATACTGCAATTGAGTACACGAGAGTTCACTTGGCTTCTGTGGCTTGTATCCTCCTATATTCTTAATGCTCTTTATTGGAATCCTCATACAGACCTTGGAATGGTGGACTTTTTTCTCAGCTGTGCAAAGTGGTTCCTTGTTAGATCACCAGCATTTGCAGAACACACTGTAGGGTCCATCTGCTTGCCCATGTTGAAATAGGTTATTTACAGCCATTTGCATAGATAGTTAAGGATTAAGTACAAAGTTATTTTCAAAAACAAGGTTACTGGAGAGTTGATGTGGTGAGTTTGTGCTTGTGCAATGACATTATTGCAGTTGGGAATGAGAGCTTGGGAAGCAGCATTTCCTTTATGCTGCCAGTTGTTGGCAGCATGTTGTTAAATTTCTTATAATTAGTTTTTTATTAATGTGAATATGCCAGAGGCCTTGGCAATAAGCCTGGGTTTGTACAAACATTGAAATAAATTAAAGGAGAGCAACAGAATAATTTTCCACTCTGTCTCTAGGACAAGCAGAATATACCTGTGTATAGGCTACAGAAAGCATGAGAAAGCAAGCCTGCTTTTTAGGACCTGTTTAGAAAATAGTGGTTGCAAATTTTCATGGGTTCACGATACAGGAGTGGAAACTCAACTGGTATTTCATTTTTGTTATGCCCTAAGAAGAGAGCGCCTGATCTTTATTTTAGAAGACAGGTCTGATTCAGCTCTGACTGAAGCCAATGAGAGCATGCCCAAGCCAGATCAGGTCTTAAGAACATAGGACTGAAAGGGACCTCTTGGGTCTGGCTCCCTGGTATAACAGACAGCCATGTCATATAATCCCTTTCATAAACTGATCGGGGTCTATCTTAAAAGCTGCTAGGGTTTTTACTCCCACTACTCCTATTGGGAGGCTGTTTTCAGAACCTGATGGCCCTAATGACTAGAAATCTTCTGATTTATAGACAGCACTCATATCCTTTCATCCTTTAGTTTCCCAGGCTACACAAGCCCTACTCTTTTGCTCTCCCTTTGTAAGATAAGTTCTACTTCTCCTGATCACCCAAGTAGCTCAGGCTGAAGATGTTTGCATAGAACTGTTCACAGTGTTCCAGGTAAGATCACACTGAAGCCCTATACAAGGCATTCATACTTCCATGTTTCTACCTTGTTTGCCACATTCTAGGATGGTATTTACTGTTTTCACTGCTATATCGCATTGGTGGATCATAGTCATCTTGTGGCTGACTAACATGCTCACTTCTCAGTCACTTCCAGCTGACAATCTCCCATTTTATAATCAAAATACTTGCTATTAGTTCCCAAGTGCATGATCTTGCACTTAGTACTATGGAATTCCATCCTGTTTCTGATATTCCAGTCCTCAAGGTCATTTGGTTTTTCCTGCATGATATTCCAGTCATCCTCTGCATGGACAGTTCCTTCTAACATTGCTTTAGCAGTGCAGATAACAAAACACAGAAGCTCCATGAAAAAGTTCCCAGTGTGGAGTGTGTCCTTTGAGACAGCCTGCAGCCAACTGGACACAAAGGCTAGGGACAGACATTCAAAAAGCCTGAGCCTGAATTGATTCAATCTTTGCAGGTTAGTCTAACCTGACTAGGCTGAACTGGTTTGAAACTGGACAGACATTCTCTCTGGACTGATGAAATTCAAGCACATGCCTGCAGTGGCTCAGGCTAGAAGCCAGGAGTGCTAGAGCAGCCCTCCCTTCCCTTCTGCAGACAGGCCCTGGCAGGACTCTCTCATTAGGAAAGTCTGCCTGCATGGTCCCAGGCTTTTCCCAGCTGGCTGCTCAAGGGGCGGGAGTGTTGCCAGTCCCCAACTCCGGCCTAGCACTCTGAGGCAAGGGGGAGTGTGCAGTGCAGGCATCTGTTGATGATACCGAGCTTTTCAGTGTCCCTCCCTGCTTTGTCATACTGTCTGCAGCAAACTGACAGGTGAGCAAGCCAGCTGGGGGGCTGATAACCGTCTTCATCCCCTAATTAGCCAAACAATAGCCTCTCTCCACATTACTTCAAACTTCTTAAACAGCTTACCAAATGACCTGTTGTTTAGCTCTAAAAGCCCTAAGTGGTCACTGTTCTGTCTTCCTCTCCCAGTAAAATTGGAGAGAGAGATGCACACAGACACCTCTTGGCATTAGTTAGCATACCACATGCTGGCTACAGTTCCTGCTGTGGCAGAGAGGAGAAAGGGATCTCTGTTTAAGCAGCGAGTAGTGAGAAGGAGGGGAGAGGGGGGCACAGGAAAACCAGCTGACCCTGCTGTGCCTGCAAGTCTGTGCCAAGCTCCAGCCAGGGAGCAGAAGGGAGGGGCCAGCCCTTCAGTGTAGCAAAGAGCCCCAGCCAGCCCAGAGAGTATGCTGGGATGCTGATAACTCTGATTTAACTTAAACCAGCAAGGGGTCTGGGACAAACACTGCATAAACTGGCTTGACCCAAATCAGTTAAGTCTGATACTGCATTCAACCAGGTTTATCTCAAATCAGTTTCAGCCATTTTCAAACTGGTGTATGTCACTGAACATCTGTTCTTTTACAGGTTTAAACCAGTTTCTGATCACTTAGACTGGGTTATGTGTAATGTCTGCCCCTAGCCAAAATGGTTGCCTCTGTTGGCACTTTGCTTGGAGATTTAAACAGAGGGTTCATAGAAAACAAAGACTTAGCAGTTACCTTCACGTGTCAGCATAGACATTTGAGGAAAATAATGTTGAATGATTAAAACAGGAAATGTAAACCGTGTAGCTTCAACAGCAGCAGCCATTCACAGAAGAGGGAAAACAGTTAGCCGAGCACCAGAAATATCACCTCCTGGAGTGCTGACACTGCCCTATAATTTGCATTTATTATGCAGGACATCATAATCTCACTGGGAAGCTGAATCAGCCTATTGTGATGTCTCTCTATCATGATGTTTCCTTGTTAAAAATGAACGTGCATCCTAATGGATGCAGTATCCATCAGGCCAACATATGGAGATATCTGCATTATCATGGTACAGCTCCCAGAATCCATTCAGAACTTTTTAATTTTCCTGTAAGTCTGATTGGCAAGAGGCAGGGCAGGCCTGCGTAAAGGATGAGTAGCCAACCTGCCTGTGCATGCTATGCATTATACCCTTAACTATAAACAGCTGTGGTCTTGCTATCTGGTCAGCAAAATAGACCACCCTCCAAGATGAAACTAGCACAAATCCATCCTCTTCCTGCCCCCAGGGACGAGACCGTAGAACTGCAGGCCCCTGGGATGGGAGTCCATCCTCCTCTCAAAAAGAGTTACAATATGCATGTCCCCAGTGACGGTTCCACAATCCCATTTTGTAAATCAGCCCACAAAAATAGTGCAGAAAACCAACCCTTCCCTCCTCAGAATGTACCCATACAGTCCCCCCACCCTCTGCCTGCCCCTGAATCAGTGGAGACCCCTGAAAACAAATGGCTCATGTAAAACTGCTATTAACAAGGAGGTATTTTTAATTAGCACATCTCTGGGAAAGCCTCCCTGTGTGGCAGTGTGAAAGATGAGACCCTGACTGGCAAATGAATGCTAAAAACCAGACATGATTATGAAGCCTGTGCACAACTTGTGCTCTATGCGGTGAATGCCAGTGACTTGGGGCCTGCTCATGTATGCTGGCCTCGTGTTCCACAAGGAACCTGCCTTCCCCTGGTGCTGCCAAAGCCCTGATATTGCACATTTGGCAGTGCTTTTAAGTTATGCCTGTCTTGACAAAAACTGTATTAATATTTGAGGCAATTACTGAATAGCCTCCTGCTTTAATCACTCCTTATAAGGTATAAGGCATGCTATAAACCATGCCAGTTATAAATCCCCCCTCAGACAGTGGTGTTAAAAGCTGTTCCAGACGCTGCTATCCAGCCTGTAAAGCAGTGCGGGGGTGTGATATATCACTTTAAGGTGTTTAGAAAGCACGGTGCAAATTGTCACAGGACTGAATAAATCATCATAAAGTCTGAGCCTATTATTATTAGTAGTAGTATCAATAATAATAAGTGCAGCCTGCGAACTCTCTAGAAGATGGGATCATGCAGTGCTGCTGAACTAATAAGCTGTTGAAGGAAGGAGCTAGTCTTAGTGGAATATTCCTAACTTAGGACCCCTCTTTCTGCAGATCTTCTTTTGCTATTGCTCTCTCCCCTTATTCCATCATGCCTTCCCCAGAGGCAGCCAGCGCTGTCCCCTGTAGCCAAATTGGCAAGTCAGTTGGCAACAACCAGGTGGCAACAAGGTACAAGGGTCCTGCCATGACAGGGAATTTATTAAGTAAGTGGTTCCCAGCAGGCTGTAGCTAATTATTCCTATTCTGTGTTGTAAAAGCCCCCTGCTAATGTGATAATCTGATACCTGGGGGAAAATTCTTTCCTGGCCCAAAATCAAGTAATCAGTTTGATTTTGAGTGAAAACAAGGCACATCAGCCATGCATCAGCAAAGCAAGGTCCTTAGAGCATCAGGCCACTGTGATTGGCCCCAGCTGGAGACAAGACCTCAGTCGCTGATGATTCAGAGAAAAACAACCTAGAAATCATTTGGCCAATTGTGTATCAGTAGTGTTCTGCATTCTCAGTTTTTACCAGTTTTCATGAATAAGTTCCCTGATTTTTTAAAGTCAGTTTTTACTGATTTTCACCTATTTTTCAGTTCAGATCCCTGTTAACTGACATTCCCCACTTGTGCCAGTTAACAGGGATTTGTACTGAAAAATGGGTGGTGCTGGTAAGCTAATAGTGCCACTGTGCTAGTTACCTGAGGCACAGGTTTCCAGCTGGATGGTGGTGGGGGAGATGTGACAGTGGCCACATGTGGAGCAGGGGGCCGGAGGGGTGCAGCTGGCCATGTGAGGGCCAGGAGAGGGTGGCTGGAGCTGCTGCTTGGGGTGCGGGACTCCCGGCTCTGACGCCACATGGGGTGGGACAGGCCACAGGAATTCCTCCCGGTGCAGGTGGGTCCGAGCTGTACCCCAGCAACATCGGCTTTGGCCCTGCCCCGAGTGCTGGGAGCTGCGAGCCCCACTGGGGTGGGGGGCAGGCGGGAGAGCCTAGGCCCATTCTCTGTGGTGGGCACTGCACCAAGCTGCTCTGCACAGGCCCGTGGGGCTGGAGCCGCTGCCTGGGGGTGCAGGGCTCTGGGCTCTGACTCCAGGTGGGGCAGGAGGTGTTGTTGCCAGGGTCAGGTCCCCCCCCCGCCATATCTGGCTGTGCACCACTCCCCATTCCCCCCAAACATCAGGGCAGACCGGCAGCAGGCTGCTGCAGCGGGGAGGGGCACAAACACAGCTAGGGAAGAAAGGCAAGGCATGGTGTAGTGTGCTTCCTGCTGCTGATCCAGGGGCACGTGCCCCTGGGGAAGAGCCCTGCACAGGCCTGCAAGCCCACAGCCCTGCTGGGGGGTGCATAGCAACAAAAGCTGCACCTCCCCGCCCCACACCCCGTACCCACTGACAGCTCCCCCAACTTTGCTCCCTGCTGCAGCCCCAGAAGAAGCTGACAGGATGCACCACACCCCTTTCCCTTCCCTAGTCCCAGCCTTACTCCGTCCCTTGCTGCTGATTTTTCTCCAATTTAACTGACTTTTTCCCCTTTTCTTCCTTTTATCCTGATTTCATACTGGTTTTTATATTTTGAAGATAAACCCTGAGAAATTTCCGGATTTTTTTTTTTAAATAAAAACTGAGAATGTGGAACACTATGTATCAGGGGAAAAAGTCCTTCCTAACCCTGTAGGCAACCAACAGGGCCAGTCCCTATGAAGCAACCTCAGTGAAGAGGTTTCCAAACTGCCACTTTAAAACACTCCCCTTTCTGCACACACAGCCTCTCTCCGTATGTTACCCATGCCAGTGCACCAAGCGACATGGATTTCCATGTCATATCTTATGCTGTGTCTTTTGATGCCAGGTTAAATCCAAAAAAGAGAGTCTCTCCCAGCAAGGGAGAAACTCAGGGGAAAACATCATCAGCAACTGCCAACCATGGTTGATTTAGAACATGAAAGCTTAACAAGACGACTTATGCCCAACTACTTTCTGACCAATTGAGCAACTCCCTTGAAGTCAATCTCACATTAGATATTGCATAACTAATAAGAGGCAACAAGCAGGTGAGAAGTGGGAGAGGAGAGAATGAAAATCTGGTTCATCGTGATCACAAGCTGTCACATTTTAATTGTGAGCACAACACCCCCACCAGGTGTTTGAGTCACCAACAATGCTGGTAGCAGCTGGGTTTTCCTTAGATGTCTCCCTTCCATTTGCTTTCTCGGCCCAGTGCAGTTTAGTCGGAGATCTAACAATATCACCACCCAAGGTGGTATGACTGGGCCAGTGCTTAATTGCTACTGAATTGTTAAGATCAAGTTATGTTCTGTATCAGTGAACTCAGTTGAGATTTCAGATTAACCCCCTGCCAGAATGCTGATTTGCAACATGACCTCCTGGTGATATTAAAAATGCTAATCTCAGAGGTGCAACTTGGAAAAATGGTTTGTCCCGTTATCCCTTAGCCTAGTGATCTGTAGGATATGGGGTCCTGCTGTGTTGGACACAGAAGGTGTTTCCTGTTTTAAAACACCCACTGCATTTATTAAAATATATTACTTTCCTGTATGTTAAGTGTACATTGTGTGGTAACTGCTTTCTGGTCACAGCACTAATAAAATGTAGCTCTTGTTATTGGTGTTTAGGTAACTCTGGATTTTGAGCTGCAGTTTGATAAGGTTTACAAGTGGACAGCTGGCAGCTGTGATGAGAAGAATGCCTTTATCAGATGCTTGTGGAAGCTGAACCACCGATACCTCTCCGGCACTATCACATTTGTCAATGTCCCCTCCTGTACAATGGAAGGTAATTATGACTTTTGTCATACACACTCAGAATGCCTTCTTATATACTTTGATCCCTCTACTCTTAAGCCCTTTATTCCTGTCACATTTTAAGGGCCGCTGGCTTTTTGTGTTCCACCTTCCTCAACAGAAGTAAGTACCTGGGGCTACCTCAAGAAAATACCTTGCTACAAGTATGATTTTCTTCCTGTGTCAAGAACTGCCTCCCTTCAAGGGCATACATTGTGACTTCACCTCAAAGTAGTCTAAAGTGCAGATCATCTAAGGGAAACCAAGATTTATTAAGAACAAAGAGGAGAGAGAGAGAGAGAGAGAGAGAGAAAAAAAACAAAACAAAACAAAAAACAACAACAGATTCAAGCAATAGAAACAGACTATGTAACAAGTCTGTATACAGATCTCTGTATACCAGCAAGAGGGGAAGTAGAGGCCCATTTTATCTTTAGTTATGGTAAAGTAATATTTCTAGAGGGTGATTAATCCTGTTCTGTTCTTTCTGACCTTTCACAGCAGCACTTCCTGCCGCAGACATATCTCTGCATTCACATCTCCCATCTCTTACCCCAGCACTGTTTTGCTTTATAACTTTCTTTGACATACCCAGTTTACTACAAACCCACCTCTTCTCACATTCTCAGGGTAAAAAACACTTTGGGTTTATCCTTACTTTGATTGTCCCAGGCATTGATTTGCACCAAAAACAAGCAAAATTCAATCTTTAACACTCTCAGCCTGAACAGTAGTTAATTCAAATAAGCCTCGGTTGTCCAAGGGGAAATTGTTCTCTTGGATACGTCACAGTACTTAAGATAGGACAGTGGGTTTGTAGGATCCCAGGATCCTCAGGCTTTTTCTTGAGAGAAAATCCACATCTGTTTTTACCTTCAGTTCCCTTGGGGGTGTATTCTCAAACTGATTCAGAGCCGTGTCTAAACAGTTTCTATTCTTCCGTTTTTCTGCTGCGCCTTCCTGTGGCAGGATGCCCTCAGGTGCCATGACTCCCCTAGTGCCTTTGCCTACCATGCCAAGTCTGGGTCCTGAATGCACCCCATCTCCCCTGCCATGTCTTTGATCTTTTATTCTCAATGGGAGGCTACCATCCTGCCCTCCTTGGCATGGGGCCAGTCTGACTATACCAGGAGTCTGCTCTATTCCCTGTGCTGGCCTTCTCGACATGCGCCTTCTCCAGGGCCTTCTATGCCCGCGCTTGCCCACACCGGGGCCTCTAACTGGGCTTGACCCCTTTTGGGACTTCCCCCTTCCAGGTAGCGCCCCACTGGGGCCTACCCCTCATACGTCTTGCGGTCACCCGCACTCAGGCCCGCGCCCCTCGCCCGACTCAGGCCACTACTTGTGCTTCCCATGCTCCTTGTGTTTCACACGCTCGGGGCTCAGGCAGCCTCAGCCTTACCTAGCCCCAGACCCCTTGCAGGGTTCTACGCCCAACTCAGGCCTTGCTTGCGCTTCCCGTGCCTAGCCCTCACTCGGGCCTAGTCTCGCGTTTCTCATGCTCCTCGTAATCGGGGAGCAGGCAGCCTTGGCCTTACTTGGCCCCAGACCCCTTCTAAGGTCCTATGCTGGACTCGGACTTCTCCCACTTGGGGCTCAGGCAGCCTCAGCCTTACCTGGCCCCCATTGGGGCTCAGGCGGCCTCAGCCTTACCTGGCCCCCAGACCTGCCTTCTCGGGCCTGTCCGGATCTTGTCCCCCCACTGGGGCTGGGGCTGGGACACCCCTACACAGCACCCTCTCAGGTGCTCAGAGCACCCCCACCTTATTGGGGGGCTCCTGTTGAGGCCTCCTCCACCCCTACAGCCTCGCCTGGTCCTCCAGTCTAATCACAACCACCAACCAAAACAGAACGCAAAGCCCCTGGCTATTACGTAAATTCTCAGCCAACCTGGCTAACCTTCTCTCATCCCTGCCAGGGTCCTCACCACCCTGTATCCACACACCAACACTGCCCTGCTCACTCTTGCTCCTTAGGCTGCCAGAGGGAACTGAACCTCTAGCCTCAGCCTTCTCTGGTTATAAAGGCCAGACCCTGCCCCCTTCTGGTCAGCTGACCCACCTGGTTGCTTAAGCAACCACCACCTGTGCTGCCCTGGTGAGTGGCAGCTGAGCCCATTTTACTACTCAGTAGCAGGCACCCTAGTGTCCTGCTACACTTCCCATTTGATCAGTTCATCCCACTCAGTGGGAGTGGCCCAGTAGCATTATGTAAGTGGCTGGACTGAAGAATTTACCACTGCTGCACTGGTTTGTCTCCATGCCTTCCACCTTGGGGATTGCCAAAGACAGCTATGGTCAATTTTTATTTTTTTTCACTATGTGATTAGAGACCTGAGGAAGAATTGTCTTGTATTCAAAAGCTTGTCTGACTTTATCCCACCTACATAGTTGTTCCAATAAGAAATATCACCCTAAGAAATCCTTACCTCTTGCATAATTTCTGTATTATCATGGCTACAACATCACTTTTACATTACTGTACCTGCCTTTGGCAATTTATCCCTGCTTACTTGTAGAGCTTTGAGAAGCCTTGGAGCAATATGTAAAGCTTCCTCCTCTCCCTGCTAGGCTAACTGCTTTGCTCAGCAATTGGTTTGAAGGCAATCTTGCAGTCACCAAACTGGGAGGTAAAAAGGGCTGTGGCCAGGGAGCGGAGGACTGCTGGTGAAATACAAGGGCTGCCCACTCCAATCAGGAGAGGGATGGCATCACAGATTAACATCACCATTAGTGTTTCTTCCTCCTGTGCACAAGCCTCTGCTCTGTTCTTGTACCTATACACTCCAGGAAACTCTGCTTTACTGAAGAGGTCTAGGGGAAATGGGATTTATAAGCAATGGCTGTGTAGTGCCGTCAACCACAAGCATTAAAAAAAAAAAAATCATGAGTCTTCCTTCAAAGAATTAGGAGATCAGATTTAAAATCATGAGCTCTTAAAAATAATGGGGGGTAGTTTTATTCATCTTCTGCCTGCTGATCCTTCACATTACACTAGGGTCACATTTTCAGGCATTTTTTTCTTTTTTTTTTGCTACCATGAAGGCGAGAATCTTACTTTATACTTTTAATGACAGCTGGGATTTTCTCCTAATCACTTTCTTCCAAGAGCTGGGACTTCATGGAGAAGCCCAAGTTCCACAAAAATCATGATTAAATCACAGGGGAGACAACAAGCCAGCAGGGAACGGCATGCTCAGGGGCAACCAGCACGGGTTCATCAGCGGCAGGTCCTGTCAGACCAACCTGGTGGCCTTTTACGACCAGGTCACTAAATCATTGGATGCAGGGGTGGCAGTGGATATAGTTTTCCTGGACTTCAGGAAGGCTTTTGACACT